TTTCTCTAAGACGAAATATTTTTTAGAATCACTTTAATGCGATTTTCTATATTTTTTCGTTTTTCTCACACAGAACTCTTCGATATCGCCCTGTTCGAGCCTGAATTACTTACGTGGTCTCGCTTGGTGCTTCCCTTGTGTTCGTCCCTATCCAGAAGTCCTATCTCTAAATCAGATGGCATAATCTTTTTCTTCTGACTTGTCTTTCCATAAGTTATTTCGGCCGTTACTAATCTGAATTCTGTTCAGCCATTCATTTTTGATGTCAGCTTCTTGTTCTGCTGATCCTTTGCATTTACCTAGGCTGATTGCCACTTTCTTTCCTTTCAACTACTTTTTGTATCCCAGCTAGAGTACCTTTTTAATTTTTTGATCATATTTTTATTATCCCATGATCTATTATTCCTACATTCCTCCTTTTCAACTTCAACTTACTATATCTTTTGTTGTGCATAATTTTGAGTGAATTCTCTACAGATAATTCGCTTTCACTTCTTATTGGTCTGCCTCATTCGGCAGCGATTTCAATCTGCTGTCTTTCGAATCTTCCGACATACCATCAGAATTTGTTTGATCTCGACCTACGCAGATAGACACTATCTAACGCATTTTTTCATTTGAAGCATTTATTGCATTTCTTGCTAGCTCAAGCTTGTCAGAGTTGTAGTTCACTGAAAACCTTTTATTTCAGTCAAGAATTAGACCCTCCCTTTTAATAAAGTACTCTGACTTTTCTGTATTTATAAAAGCACATTGCATCAAGGTTGAGGAGTGACTATCGTAGTAAGCCATTTATCTGTTCTATATATAACATGTATTTTTTTATCATTTCCAACTATTCCACTTTTTTTACTTATACTTAGACATATTAGAGCATTTTTAGTATTACATCTTTCTTCATTTCTCTTGCTATACTTGATCCATAAAGTAGCTCCTGCAATAGCTCTGAACTCTATTGTCACTTATGCATTTACGAGTTTACACATCCGCGTTTATTTGTCACGTATTTGATATACTTTATTCGCCAGCTGCCATAATTATACACTATTATGTTACGCATTATTTTAAATAACAAAGTTTGATTGATGCCTTGAATCAATCATATTTTGGCGATCTGTTACGTATCGTCCAAATTGTGATACTTTATTCTGTCTTCTGCTTTCCTATCGTCGATAATGCTTGGTAACACTGTATTATAAATGCATTAATCTTGTTCTTAGCTTATTTTCTTCCCCGTTTTTGAGCATTTTAATTAAATTTTCTCCAGCTTTCTTCCTCGAAATGCCGTTTCTTTCCTCTCATTTTAGTACCCCTACTTATCTTCCGAAATTCTCAAATACCTAACTTTGTGAGTTCATCGTAAACTTATATATTTTACTTTTAATCTGACTGTAGCATGCAGTCTTGTAATCTGAACTTCGTACATTCCTTTTAATTACAGAATCTGTCGACTTTTCCCAAATCTGTCCACCAATTATGCTTGTGCAATTCTGTAAGATCTCCGCTCTTGCATCTCTATTCATCAAGTCCGTCTTTATCTTATGTTTTTCTTACTCGAATTAAAAACAATTTATCATATACACTTTTTCTACGGAATGTTCTTTTGATTTCGGTTACATGTAGCGAGGAGCAAAAAAATGGTTTAATGCATTTAAAATATTTGTAAACGATTTTTTCGATTTTGGTGCTATCCCTTTCCGGTCTACTTTGGGCCTTTGCGTTTAAATATTTCAGTCTTCACACCGTTTTGAGTGCATTTTCGGCTAATTTTTCGCTGTACTCATTAGTATTTGTTTTTAATGAACGGATTTGTTTAATTCTTGTGAATGCTCAAGAC